GCAGTATCACTATGGAAGTAGATTGCCCAAACTTCCTACCGAGAAGCAGCTAGTGGATTTGAACCACCAGCCTTCTGGTTAGCAGTCAAATGCCTTAGGCACTATGCAACCAGAGCTCATCACAGTCATAGGAGGAGACTTTAATACACTACTTTCAACCACAAAAAGAACAACTGGAAAGAAACTCAACAAAGATGCAGAAGAGCTAAATAATGCAATCTACCAACTTGACCTTATAGACATCTACGGAATACTTCATCCAACAACAGCACAATATACATTCTCTTCCAGTGCACATGAAATATTCTCCATGATAAACAATATTTTAGGCCATAAAGCAAGCCTTAATAAATTTTAAAACACTGAAATACTGCAAAGCATTTTCTCAGATCATAATGCTATCAAATTGAAAATCAACAATAGAAAGATCAACAGAAAAAGAGCAAACACATGGAAACTGAAAAACATCCTCCTTAAGAAAGACTGGGTAAGAGAAGCAATAAAAAATGAAATTAAAAAATTTCCTGAATCAAATGAGAATTAAAACACAACATACCAAAATCTTTGGGACACAGCAAAAGCAGTGATCAGAGGCCAATTTATAGCAATAAATGTACACATCAAAAAAGAAGGGCCAAAATCAACACTTTAAACCAACATCTCCAACAATTAGAAAAAAGAACAGAAAGAAAAGCCTACAGTCAACAGATGAAAGGAAATAATGAAAATTCTAGCAGAATTCAATGAAACAGAAAACAGAAAGACAATAGAAAAAATCAATAAGACTAAAAGCCAATTTTTTGAGAAGAAAAATAAAATTGACAAACCACTGTCAAATTTAACAAAGGAAAAGAGGGAAAAAATACAAATAACACAAATAAGAAACGAAATGGGCAACATCACAACAGAACCAACTGAAATAAAAAGGGTAGTATCAGGATACTATGAAGATCTGTACTCCAACAAATTTGAAAATCTGGAAGGAAAGGATAGATTTCTAGAAACATAGTACTTACCTAAACTGACATAGACTGATGTGGAAAAGTTGAACAGACCCATAACAAAAGAAGAAATTGAACAGGTCATAAAAAAAAATTACCACCAACAAAAAAAAAGTCCTGGCCTAGACGGTTTCATAGGAGAATTCTACCAAACATTCACAGAAGAACTGACACCAGTCCTATTCAAATTATTCCAAAACATAGAAAAGGATAGAATCCTCCCAAATTCATTTTATGAAGCAAGCATAACCTTGATACCAAAATCAGGCAAAGACATCACTCAAAAGGAAAACTACAGACCAATATTCCTCATGAATAAAACAAACACAATGCACTGCCATCGAGTCAGATGCAACTCATAGCGATCCCTCCTTGGGTTTCTGAGGCAGTATCATTAGGGAAGTAGATTGCCCCACCCTCCTTCTGAGGAGTGGCTGGTGGGTTTGAACCACCAGCCTTCTGGTTAGCAATCAAATGCCTTAGGCATTAGATGCAAAAATCTTCAACAAAATCCTAGCCAATAGACTCTAACAACATACCAAAAAAATAATTCATTATGATTAAGTGGTTTTTTTTTTTTAGGTATGCAAATATGGTTCAACATTCAACACGTCATTCACCACATATATCAAGCAAGGGAAAAGAACCATATGATCATATCAATTGATGCAGAAAAGGCATTTGATAAAATCCAACACCCAATCCTGATAAAAACTCTCAGCAAAATAGGAATAGAAGGTGCATTCCTCAACATAATAAAGGGCATATATGCAAAACCAATAGCCAACATTATCCTCAGTGGACAGACTGAAACTATTCCCCTTACGAACAGGAACCAGTTTTATTCAACATTGTATTGGAAGTCCTAGCCAAGGCAATAAAGAAAGGGAAATCAAAGGCATCCAGATCGGTAAGGAAGAAGTCAAACTATCCCTATTTGCTGATATGATCCTAAACCAAGAAAACCCAAGGGACTCAGTAAAAAATCTCCTGGAACTAAATGAGAGATTTAGCATCATGGCAAGATACAAGATCAACATCCAAAACTCAGTTGGATTCCTCTACACCAGCAAAGAGACTGCTGAAAAAGAAATAAGGAAATCAATATTATTTACAATAGCTACCAAAAAAATAAAATACTTAGGAATAAATCTTACCAGGGACACAAAAGACTTGTACAAAGAAAACTATAAAAGACTACTTCAAGAAACCATAAGAGATCTACATAAATGGAAGAACATACCATGCTTGTGGATAGGAAGATTGAACATTGTGAAGATGTCAGTTCTATCCAAAGCAATCTACACATTCAATGCAATCTCAATCCAGATCCCATCAACATTCTTTAAGGATATGAGAAAACCCATCACTAACTTTATATGGAAAGGAAAGAGATCTTGGATAAGCAAAGCATTATTGAAGAAGAACAACAAAGTATCAGGTCTCACACTCCCAGATCTTAAAATCTACTATGCAGCCACAGTAGTCAAAATGCCCTGGTACTCATACAATGAAAGACAGGTAAACAAATGGAATAGAATTGAGAACTCAGAAATAGATGCATCAACCTATGGTCAGATGATCTTTGACAAAGGACCAAAATCCATTCAATGGTGTGGTGGTTATGTTTGTGTGTCAGCTTGGCTAGGCCTGTTGAGTGGCTGGGCAGCTGCTGGTAGTTATTTTCCATGAGACTGGCAATCAACTCCATGGTGGGATCTACCACAAGCAGCTGAGTCGCTGCCTTTGGGATGTGGTCTGCTTCCTGTATATAATGAACCCTTTTGCACATACGGGAGCTCTAGGGGCATAGTGCTAAGGCATTTTGACTGCTAACCAGAAGGGTGGTGGTTCAAATCCACCAGCCACTACTCAGAAGGAAGATTGGGCAATCTACTTCCATAGTGATACTGCCTCGGAAACCCAAGGAGGGGTTGCTATGAGTCAGATCCAACTTGTCGGCAGTGAGTTTGGTTTTTTTGTTTTGTTTGTTTGCACATACAGTACTGCATTGTCAGTGAAGGCAAACGCTGATGTACAGGTGGGTAGACAGATGTACAGGCTGAGCTATTATGCAGGCTTAGGTATGTCTATGCAGGGGGGAGTGTGCCCATGACCATGTATAGGGGTGGCAGACAATGTTTCTACAAGTGTACTGGTATATTCTGTAAGAATTCCTAGGTATATAGTGGAGCTGACAAGGGACAAGTTTGTAGTATTCTTGGCCACAGCCAGCTACCCAGAGGAAGCAAGTAGTCCCGAGACCATAGTTGCAGGGGACATCAAGCTCAACTGGCATAGCATACTACACAAACGTTCCACATTCTACTGTGGTGAGTAGCAACTGGGATCTTAAAAGCTTACAAGTGGACATCTAGATGCAACAAGGGGTCTCTCCTCGTCCAGAGCAAACAAGAATGAAGAAAACCAAAGATGTATGGAAATAATTAGTCTAAGCAACTGGGATACCATGTGATCCTCAGCCTTTATGACTATGAGACCAGAAGAACTAGATGGTGCCCGGCTACCACTGTCAACCACTCGGAAGGGAATCTCTGTTGGAGATCCTGGATAGAGTGGGAGAACAGTGTGGAACAAATCTCAAAATCATTACAAAAAAAAAAGACCAGGTTTGCTGGTCTGACAGAGCCTGGTGGAACCACTGAGTCTATGGCCCCCTAGCTGCCTTTCAGGTCTGGAATTGAACCTTCTCCTGTGGCTTGCAGCCAAACAACAGACAGGCACATGATGTGAATATTTATATGAGGTAGATACACTCATTGGAGAGATCGATCAGGGGAGAATAGAAGGGCTGCTTATGCAGAGGGAGAAAGCTCAGGGGGCAGGAGTGCATGGGAGGGAAGGACACAGGGAAGAGGTAAATATGGGGAGGAAGTGAGAGGCGAGCTGTTGCATTGTGGTAAATCGTAGTCCATGTCATGAGAGAAAGCGTATGTGAGCTACTGTATAGAAAGTGAATTTGCTTTGTAAACTTTCACCCAAATCACAATAAAAGTTAAAAAGAAAAAACTGGTAGAATTAATAAAAAGCTATCACTGCTTCTGTCAAAGAGCTAGTAAATTGATCTAGATCAACCCAAACCCACTGCCAGTGAGTCTATTCCAACTCAAAGTGACCCTTCAGGGCAGAGTATAACTGCTCCATAGGGTTTCTAAGGCTGTAAATCTTTATAGACGCAGACTGCCTCATCTTTCTCCTGTGGTGGATTTGAACTGCCAACCTTTGGGTTAGCAGCCAAATACTTTAACCACTACTCCACCAGAGCTCCTGGATCTAGGCCAGGAATGGTGAAATTAATGTCTCCAGTGGCCAAAGAAGTAACTTAAACAAATAAAATAAGCTGACCAGGGACTGTGTTGAACTATCCACACTCATCTAGTGAAGCAGAAGGGCTACTTGGCTCCACATCCTTCATGTGAACAGTACAACCATATCTTTCAGAGTTCCAGGAGTGCCTGGAAATCTGGCATTCCTGGAAACCTTGATTTGCATGTGGAATATCACAAATTTAATTAGGACTAATCCAAGAAATCTTAAACAGTATGTGGACCAAACAAAAATGTATCACTTGACAAGTTACATTCAATAAACTACCCATTCTGTGACTTGAGGCAGATCTTCCCAGATCCTCACCAATCTCATCTCCACAAGACCCATTTTAAGCCAGAATGACTCAAATGGACATAAATGGAACTTTGTCATAACAAAAGTGTTACTCCCTCAAGTTTCAACTATAAATGTAAAAGAAAAGAAAGTTGGTCCATCCTGTCTCCCAATACAACTCCAATCTAATCCTTTCAGAATGACTCTTCCCTTTCTCCTTTAGTCATAGGACACAAATGTCCAGTGAGTTTTACAGTCAGAACAGTCTCACTGATTCCAACCTTTATTTCTGTCACTACATGATAGTGTAGTTCATTCCTTTCCTTTGATAAATAATAGGCACTAGAGAGAATGGCAGAAAGAGGTAGCTCTTACCTTCGTGGTGGCGATGTCACACACTCTGCCCTCATCCTGTCCAGTGGGATTTCCATCATCATCCAAGAAGTGCCACCTTTCTTCCCTCACTGGAATTTTTTGTGCACATAGAGACTTAGTGTCCCAAAAAGAAGAAAAGAATCTTGTTTTCTGATTGTCCAGTCCAAAGTAATTGATGGGAAATCACTTTCACCTGCAAGAAACCATCATGGAAGTTGTAACTCCAAGGAAGAAACACACCCACAATGCCTTGTCTCAGACTTGGTGGTCTGGGCTCTGTACTGATCCGGCCCCTATCTTAGAGCCCAATCTATTTCACAGGGGCAGGGGTTCATCTTATCTCCCTGTGAAACTACTACTCCCACTAGACATATGGATAAGCAGACATGAAAAAGCCACAGGCCTTAATTCAAAACCACTCTTAGAACTTAACCAAAGTGGAACAAATGGCATAAAGACATGTGTCTAGAGATGAGTGAAACATCCTAAGATAAAACTACCAGTTGCTGTCAAGTCAGTTCCAACTCACGGCGACCCCAGGTGTGCCAGAGTAGAACTGTGCCATTGGGTTTTCAAAAGTAGATCTCCAGGCCTTTTTTCTGAGGCACCTCTAGACAGACTACAACCCCTACCTTTCCATTATCAGCAGAGCATGCTAATCATTTGCATCACTCAGGGAATCTAATAATAAAACTAGACACTAGAATTAGGGCTGCAGTCACTCACCTCCCACAGTTTCCCCTAAGAGTATTATCTCCCCAGTTAATTCATCAAAGATATTATTATACACTTCTAAACGAATGCATTTTAATCCATTTTAGAGACCAAGTTCTAGGTGTTACTGCCCTAATAAAATCAACACTCTTCATTCTAATTTGAAAGCAATAGGTTTCAAAGGCTGGCCAAATTCAATTTTGTTTTATTTGTTCACTGTTATATTTTATACATTAGAAATGACTAAACATACTAGCACAAAGTCCTCTGGTTAATGTGTGTGCAGTATGTACATGTGTATGGAGGTATGCTTCAAGTTTGCAGGAAAATACACAAAAGGATAAAATTCAGTTACTCTCTCTGAATAAATTAAAGAATGTAAACAAATTTCCAATTTCCAATCAGGGAAGCCTTGCCTCATGTTGATGCATTCCCATAGAGCTGCATTAGCATCTAAGCATTCATTCAACGATTTTCATGTTTTCCAGTCAGCATCAAGGTCCAACAGAGGGGGGAAGAAGACAAGACTAATTCTGAGCTTCAGAAAGGAGGGAAAAGACTTGCAATGTGTGCTTCTGGCTATGTCAGCCATTAAACAAGCACTCATTAGAGCCAGGCATCTTGTTAGCCACTGAGATTACAAATAAACTGCAGCATCTGGCCCCCAGGAGCTCACAGACTCCACAAACAATGAATAAGTAAAGATGTTCTAACACCATCAAGAGGGTAATGTAGAGAGAGAGAGAGAGAGAGAGAAGCAGATAGACAGTTTCTGAGCTGGTCCCAACAATGAAAAGCTGGAAAGTGAGATAGCAAATAGAAACTGCTCATTGGCACCCCCCTCAAGTGATGCCCAGGACTCTTGCCATACCTGCCATACCTTATATATCCCTCTGAATCCTTCCTCTTTATCATGTCTACTCAAAAAATACATAAATAAAAACTCAAACTCATTGCCATGGAGTCGATTCTGATTCATAGTGACCATATAGGACAGAGTAGAACCACTCCATAGGGTTTCCAAAGCTGTAATCTTTACAGAAACAGACCGCCACATTTTTCACCCATGAAGTTACTGGTGGATTCAAATTGCTGACCTATTGGTTAGCAGCTGAGTGCTTTAACCACTGAACCACTGGGGCTCCTTATCATCTCTACGTTGTTGTTGTTGTTATGTGCCGTCGAGTCAGCCCTGACTCATAGCGACCCCTCCTTGGGTTTCCGAGGCAGTATCACTACAGAAGTAGGATTGCCCAACCTTCCTTCCGAGGAGTGGCTGGTGGGTTTGAACCACCAGCCTTCTGGTTAGCAGTCAAGTGCTTTAGCCACTATGCTACCAGAGCTCCTAACCTCTACGAGGAATGGAAATTCACCCTCTGCTCAGAGAAGCTATTTGTCCCAAGTCCCCACCTAACAAGTGTCAGAATGAAAATTCAAACAGGTCTGCCTGATTTCAACTACTGCAGGAAATTAAGATCACTCCTAATTATTGGGGAAGGTCAAAGGGATTGGGAAGGGTAGGCAGAACACTGCTCAAAACATTGCTTTGAGGAAGAAAAATGTGTACATACAAAAGATTTGCTCCTTCCTGCTTGACAAACCCATCAAATGTTTCTATTTCTGATGTGTTCAAAACAAGGAAATATTGTTCATGATTTAGCATTTAAGCAGATTTCTGACTTTGCTAAATGATTCAGCAGAATCCTGGCAAAATACATCAAGCTCACTCAAGTATTGCTACCCTCTACAGAATTCCTCTCTTCACAATGAAAGGTGAAACACTTTGCATCATCCTTATCCTTCCCTTTTTAAAAAATAAAAAAAAAAAAAACACTGTCATAAAGTCAATTTCTACTCATAGCAACCCTATACAACAAAGTAGAACTGCCCCCATCGGGTTTTCAAGGCTGTAAATCTTTACAGAAGCAGACTGCCTCCTCTTTCTTCCATAGAGTTGCTGATGGGTTCAAACCACTGACCTTTTGTTAGCAGCCAAATGCTTTAACCACTATACCACAAGAGCTCCTGCTTCCCTCCAGTCTGGCTCTATTTCATGGTGGGTTGACTACAGCATTCAAAAATACACAAAATGACTGCCTCCATTACTGAGAGGGAAATGATGAAGATTCAATGGCATAATGGACTATTTCATTATCCAGAGACCTGACATCTAATCTTGGAACAGAACCCAAGGAAAAGCAAATGGACAGCTGACATACACAGGAGTGATAATGTTCCTATCCCCTTTTCCAGGACTCAGAATCACAAGAATAATGTTGCCTTCCAAAAATTAAACTATAGATTTTGAAAATGGAGTCTCATCAGTAATCACCACTCTAATTCCCTCTAGCATCTTAGTGCCTGAAAAACTAGGTACAGCAGTTTGAATTAGGGATTCTGGTGCTCTGAACAGCTCACTGAGTCAGAGTGCACCAAACTCAGGGGAATAAGACTAGAAATGAGAAAGGGACAGGGGAAAAAATAACAAGAACAGGAGATCTACCCTGCAAAGCATGAACAGGTAGGTAGAAAGGCCATCGGAGACCTCCCTGGGGGAGCGCTGACTGGCAGGTGAGAAAGGTCATCCAAGACCTCCCTGGGTTAAGGAAGAAGACACACCAAACCCACATACCAGCAACCACACCAGCATACCAGGATCTACCTTCAGCACCTGATTTTATCAGTAACTTGGGTTGGCTAGGTGCAAGCGGGCATATCCAGTGCCACTGAAACGCGAGCAAAGAATCCACTGGTGCTGCAAGAGGGTGGGACCAGGGAGATGCCCCCACAGCGGATCACTGAACAGGCTTGGGTCAGCTTTTTGGCACTGAGAGGTCAGGACTTGACTTTGTCAGTAATGTTGGGACCACTGGCTATAAGCAGCCACTGACCTGACTCCAGCAGCTCTGAAACTGAGCAGAACTTTGGTGCTGCAAGTGGGCAGGCCCGGAAAGTAACTCCCTCAGTGGATCTCGGAGTCAGGCAGTTGTCTTAGGTCAGCTTTTTGGTGCCAAGGGGCCTTGGGAATGGGGTTTTTGCATGTGTCTGAGCCTGGCAGAAAGTGGCAACCCCCTAACAACTGGAGCCTTTGCTGAACCTGAGTTGTGGGCCTGTGAACAACAGTACACTGTCATCATTAGCAGCCCGCTCAAAGCCCTAGAAACCGCTCCTAGCAATGGAGCTTTCTTTCTTTCTCTCTTCCACTCTCACCTTCTCTGCCAATGACCTCACTCATCCAATAGAAGAAACCACATTCAGCAACCATAATACCTCCCAGTTCAAATTCTAAATCTTCTTTATGACAAACAGAAATCTATATCCACATTCCACACAGTGATTCCATCATCACAAAGAAAACTGCAGACCAACCCAGCATACCTGAGTTAATTACTAAAAAAATAAAATACTCCAGTTCCACCTTTTCAAAATATTAAAACATAAAACCAAGACAAAACAAATCGATACATAACCAACAGTTAAAGACAACCTCAAAATGTCTAGGAAACAACAGGCAACTTCAAATCAAACAAACAAACAAACAAAAAAAAAAAACAGGACAAGGCATTAGAAGCAAAATCACAAAAAAAGGTTTCATTAAACATGGAGGAAGAGGAGGCAATAGAATTATCTGAGAAGGAATTTAGAAGATATGTTTATAGAGCTTTAAAAGAGCCTAAGGAAACCCCAAACAGAAACAAGGAGAACACAGACAGTTTCCTGGAAGAACTCAGGAAAATCATTCAAGAACAAAATAACAAGATTAATGCACAATCAGAACTCATATAAATACAGCAGTTAGAAAGCCAGAAGATGAATACCAAAATTACAGAATTACACAATACAGTAGAAGCACAAAAGAGTAGGATAGAACTGGCTAAAGAATGCATATCCCAACTAGAAGACAAATCCCTGGACACCAGTCTGTATGAAGAAAAATCAAAACAAAGGTTTAAGAAAAATGAAGAGAACCTAAGAGTTATATAGGATGACATGAAAAGAAACAACATAAGACTAATTGGAATTCCAGAAAAAGAAGAGGTGAAAAAAAACACTGAGAAAATTGTGGAAGACCTACTAACAGAAACCTTCCCCTATATCATGAAGGAAGAAAAGATATTTGTCCAAGAAGCTCATAGAACCCCACACAAGATAGATCCCAAGACAAAAACACCAAGGCATATTATAATAAAACTCTCCAAAACAAAGACAAGAAAAAAATTTGAGAGTTTCCAGGGACAAAACAAATATTACTTATAATAATCAAATGGTTAGGCTGAGCTCTGATTACTGAGCAGAAACCATGGAGACAAGAGACAATGGGACAGCATATATAAAACACTGAGGGAAAAGAACTTCCAACCAAGAATCCTATATCCAGCCAAATTATCCATCAAGTATGGGGGCAAAATCAAAGCATTTCCAGACAAAAGAAAAATTAAGGGACTTTGTGAAAACCAGACCAATGCTTCAAGAAATGCT